TGATAGAAATAATAGATAATTACCAAATAAAACAACTCATAAAGGAACCAACATAAATTACTAATTCCTCAAAACTCTAATAGACTTATGTCAAACAAACCAGTCTGTTAACATTATAGAATCTGGGGTCCTACATTTAGCAATTAGTGACCATTAACTGGTCTATATAATACGTAAGGTGCATCACAATCGTTAGAGCCCCAGAAAAATTAATACTAGATCAATGAAAACCTTCAATAGAGAAGCCTTTTTTAATTATTTGAGGCAAAAGGAATTACAAAATATATCTCATTCTCAAGATCCAAATGAGATGATAAACTATTAAAGATAGCTGCCGCTGTGATTGCACCTCCTTTACTAGAATATTCACTGTATCAATTAAAACAGGAATATTCCCGAACGAATTGAAAACAAGCAGAGTAACACCAATATATAAAAGCGGCACAAAAAGTGATTCTAGCAATTATCGTCGTATATCTGTCATTCCTTGTGTTGCTAAGATGTTGGAAAAATTGTCTTTCATCAACTTTATGATTACATTGATGAAAATAAATTACTAATTACCTCTCAATCAGGATTTCGAAGTCTTCACAGTACATTATCACCTTTTCTGGAGGCTACCTGTGATTGGTCTGTTAATATCGACAATGGCCTAGTAAATGCCGTCGTATTCATTGATTTAAAAAAAGCATTTGACACAATTGACAATCAAATTAATCTATCAAAACTTAAAAATTATGGTCTTAACGAAAACAGCATAACTTGGTTTGTTCTTATCTAACTAAGAGAACTCAAAATGCCTTGTTAATGATGTATTGTCGAACTATAGACCGGTGAAATGTGGCGTCCCACAAAGTAGTTGTCTGGGACCTTTATTATTTCTATTTATATACATGACTTCCTAAATTCCCTTAACTATGTAACATCGGGAATGTTTGCAGATGATACTAGCATTAGCTATGCATCTAATTCCGTTCAAGAGCTCCAAAATATCATTAATTCTGAATTGAAGAGACTTAATGAATGGCTTGTTACAAATAAACTAAGTCTCAATGTTGTAAAAACAGAATTCATGATAATTGGATCACGTCAAAGAATAGAAAATCTAACTGATACAATAGATATTAAACTGAATAATAATAAAATTAAGGAAGTAGACTGTGTTAAATGTTTAGGAGTTTTTATTGATGTTCATCTTACCTGGTCAGTGCATATCGAGAATCTTTGCAAAAAAATTGCTTCTGCCATAGGAGCATTAAAACGTATAATGGCGTTTATTCCAATGAGTATAGCTATCCAAATTTATCATGCACTAATCTAGCCTTATTTTGACTATTGCTGCTCGGTTTGTGATGGGCTTGGTGAAACGCTAAGCATAAAATTACAACAGCTACAAAATCTGGTAGTTCGAGTAATAGCCAGAGCTGGTTATGACACAAATGTTGTGGCATTACTAAACTTCCTATATATAGATAACCTCTCACTTAGGCGGAAAAAATTAAAAATTTGCTTAATATTTAAAACTCTTAAAGGCCATACTCCAGATTATGTAGAGAGTTTCTTCTCGATGCGAAGTGCACAATAAGATCTTAGAAACTCTGAAATGAAGCTGAATTTACCGAAGCCTCGTACAAAATACCTATAACGAAGCTTTCATTATAGTGGAGCCTTGCTTTGGAATAGCATCCCAGAAAATATTCAAAGGCTTCAATCTTTTGCACAGTTCAAGAAAGCTGTAACTCAATTCTATAACACATTATAGCTCCCACACGGCAATCTTGTAAATCAGTAAATGTTTCTTTTTTGATATTGTAATTATACTAGTCTTTATATATATCTATATATATGAATGATAATATTAAGGAATCTCTGGACTTTTATTTTGAAATTTTTATTAAGCTTTCAACTCGGGGCTTCGAGCTTTCGTCAGAATGTAAGAATATATTATTTACAAAGATTTTGTAGGCGTTTGGAGCGTCTGATTGGTTGGTTAGTAGTTGAGTTGATATTATTGGATAGTATAAGATGCGTTGTCATGGTTTCGGGTGTATGGATTGCGTTGATGAAATTCGAGTGTTTATTTTAGTCGTTATGTTATTAGTGTGTTGTTTTGGTTTTGTCTTTAGTTGTGAATAGATAATGGGGATGTCAATATGTCTGTTTATTGTGTTGTTGTCTTTGCTGTACCATGCCTCTTTGAATTCTCATGCGTGTTTTGTCTGTGCGCGTCGAAGAAGTTGTGTTTTTGTCCAGTCAAATGTGTGGTTGGTATCGTAGGTATGTTCTGCTAGGAGTGATTTTGGGTCACGTCGTTTGATGGCATTCTTGTGTTCAGTGAGTCTTGTTTCAATTTTCTTGGATGTTTGTCCTATGTACTGTTTGGGGCAATCTTTACATGGTATCATGTAGATCGCGTTGGTTGTGTCAAATGTCGTTGTTCGGTCTTTATGTTTAGTGAAGTATGATTTGAGTTTGTGTGTTGGTTTATGTGCGATGTTTATTTTGAATGGTAGGAGTAGTCTTGATGTCATTTCTGATGTTCCGTTTACATATGGTAATGTCACTATTTTTACTGGTTCGTCTGTATCTTCGTTAGGTTTTTCAGTTTGCGGCTTGTTGTGTATTTTGTTTAATACTTTGTTGATAAAGTTTCGTGGGTAATTGTTGTTTATGAATGTAGAGTATAAGTAGTTGCGTTCATTCTTCTTGGCTTTCACTTTTCACTTGGCTTCCAAATATGAATGTTGGAAGGAGAATTCAGTGGAGAGGCAGACCTCGAGCAGATCGATGATATCGTCTTGGTCTAGTTCGGTTGTGATTTTCCACGAGTTGTTGTTAGTAAGTAGTTCGTTTGTGACTTGTTTGGCTATGCTTAGTGGTATGGATGTGAAAAGTGACGAAGCTAAGTGAAAAGTGAAAGCCAAGAAGAATGAACGTAACTACTTATACTCTACATTCATAAACAACAATTACCCACGAAACTTTATCAACAAAGTATTAAACAAAATGCACAACAAACCACAAACTGAAAACCTAACGAAGATATAGACGAACCAGTAAAAGTAGTGACATTACCATATGTAAACGGAACATCAGAAATGACATCAAGACTACTCCGACCATTCAAAATAAACATCGCACAAAAACCAAAACACAAACTCAAATCATACTTCACTAAACATAAAGACTGAACAACAACATTTGACACAACCAACGCGATCTACATGATACCATGTAAAGATACCATGTAACGATGCGACCCAAAATCACTACCAGCAGAACATACCTACGATACCAACCACACATTTGACTGGACAAAAACACAACTTCTTCGACGCGCACAGACAAAACACGCACGAGAATTCAAAGAGGCATGGTACAGCAAAGACAACAACACAATAAACAGACGTATTGACATCCCCATTATCTATTCACAACTAAAGACAAAACCAAAACAACAAGCTAATAACACAACGACTAAAATAAAACACTCGAATTTCATTAACGCAATCCATATACCCGAAACCATGACAACGCATCTTATACCATCCAATAATATCAACTCAACTACTAACCAACCAATCAGACGCTCCAAACGCCTACAAAATCTTTGTAAATAATATATTCTTACATTCTGACGAAAGCTCGAAGCACCGAGTTGAAAGCTTAATAAAAATTTCAAAATAAAAATCCAGAGAATCCTTAATATTATCATAATATGCCTGGGTTACCAATTTTCAAATATATATATGGATATATTAATGGAGAATATTCCTGGATAAAAGAGTGCTCAATATCCTATATATTAGAAGAGCGTAAGATAACAAGAAATAAAATGGACAAGTGTTTGCTGTCGCTACTCGGAGTTTCACGCCGTAGGAGTTGCCTGAAGATCGCCCTGCGGCGTGAAAGATCCCTCGGAGGAGTAGCGACAGCAAACACTTGTCCATTTTATTTCATGTTGTATACAAAGTGTATATACAATGTGCACTCCTGGCTATCACCATATTAAAATGGTGACTCCTGCACTTGGGGCACAGAACGTACGGTTACACATTGTATGGATTGTATTGTAGAGTCACCACAGTGCTCAAACCTATAAAGGTGAGCTTTGCATATTGCGAACGTCTCCACACTGTTATTTTTGAGGTGTTGAACTAGCACTTTCTCTAGTGCTAAACTGACACCCACCGGTGGTGTTAAATAAAAGGTGTTATTATAACACCAATATTGGTGTTGATTTAACAAGATATGACCTTAAACATATTGTAGCGTCTTAAATTTACGCCTCAACACTTTAATACCTAATTAATAGTGCTGAAATAGCACCTTGTTCTGCCACAAAGGTGCTAAAGTAACACTGTTTTTTGGTGTTAAGTGGTTGGTGTTAAATTAACACCATTAGCAAGAGTTACAATAATTTATAAAGGGCGTTATTTCTGCACCACTCTCCTTGTAAAATCATGGGTGTCAAAATAACACTTATTTTAACTGTTTTTTTAACTTATTTTTATACTTATATCAAACTGCAGCTGTTTTCGTTCTGACACGGATAACAGAACAGTTGACTTATGCGTTCATTTAAACAGCTTAAAAACTTCGTAAAAAATAGCGGCAATACATATGTTATATTAACCAGAGCTGGATTAAGCATGGATTTTTTCATTTTAAACATGGCTGCGTTTTTAAGGCAGCTAGTTATATCAGACTTTAAAAGATTAATGCTTGTTTGAGTAACCTTCGTAGCATTCTCAACGAAGGAATCAACAACAGTTTGAGGTACACGTCCTCTTTCTTTGAAATTTAACAAACATAAAGTATTCGCTCTAGATAAATTGTCCTGGTCAGCCATAATGTAAACTCTTCTTCCTGTTCAGGGTCTGTATTATCAATCTCATGATTTTGATTAGCATCGTCGTTTCCCCTATCAGTATTCAACTCTGCGCTGTTCCTCGTATTGCGCACGATGTTATGTTTTCGAATAAGGTAATTTCTCAATGATAAAAATTTCTTAAACGTCCTGGCACAACCATCGATGCCACAAACAACATGAAAATTTGGTTCATCACGATGAACACGGCCAATATGTGTTATTAGTAATTGAAGAGAATCTGAAACGAATTCTAGGCAAATATTACATCGATATAGACGCTCCATGACATAATTCACTTCAAGAATACAATTCACTTCTGAAGAGAGTGCCGGCTCAACTCTGTTACCATATATGGTGTGAAATGTGATATTAGCGACTATATGCAAAACGCGGTAAGATGTTTATAGCCTACTGTCACTGTCACACTATTTCATATTTCATTTCATGATTTTCATCGTGATTTCATCTGTTTGTGCAGCGTTGTCAACTAAACGTAAAAGTCAATATTACCAGGCTTAAAGAGCCATTGGATTTAAGTTATTTGGTTTCGACGATCTCCCTTCTTTTAAAAAGGTAAATACAAAGCTTTTTTGAATGTATTTTCTTATGAAATTTCTTGTGACACATACTTCTCCTCGTGCTTATATTTCATGTAGAAATTTTTGTATTTGTGTTTTACAAATTTTTATGCGTTTAAGGTCGGATGGATTCCACGTTGCTTGATAATCTTAAGAAGGCAGGGGTAAAGGACAGTGTAATTTCTATTCTTGAAGATGAAGAGGTATGTGTATAAAATTAATTTTATCATGAGTGCGTGAATTTTTGCGTGTTGACGTTGTGACTAGACGACTTTTTGTTGCTTTTGTTAACACTGCTTGGTAAATATGGATTCCATACCGAAAAAACAATACTTGAATTTAGTGGGGAAAATTATTGAGGGAAATAAATTGTAAAGATAAAAAATGACTGGGTAATCTAAGACGTCAAGCATTATGCGTGAAGATTCAACTGCCGTGGTTCCAAACTACAATAGACTATGAAGTAAAAATACCAAATCATTATTATTGCAGCATGCTAAGTTGATGTTCGAATAAATTACTTCATTTTTTTTTATTCCGGTCCGCGGAATCCTGGCAAATGTTAAAGCCAATAAATTAAGCTGTTTTAGTAATTTAAAAAAGTTATTTGGAAAACGTTTATAACAATGGATTTGAATGATAGTTCTCACTCGGAAAGCGAGTTTTACCATGCCGACGAGCTTGGAAATATCGTGGAAAATGTTAGCAAAAATATAGCAGAAAACGTAAACATGGATGAAATGGACGAAAGTGTTACGCATGAAATTCAAGATTACATTATGGCACAACGGCCATAACCGCTTGACAAAAAATAAATACGTTATTTACCGTTTATATTTCGGTCCGAATAGAAAAATAGTTCCTCTCGACATCAAAAACGGCCTTTGGCCTCGGGCCGTTTGGGATCTCTGGAAAACATTTTTACATTTATTTCAACCGCGTTCTGATTGGTCAAAGCCCAATCCAAACATCAAATGGCTGTTCTTTTTTCGCTTGAATGGACCTCCCCAAAGTCTCGGTCCGTACAAGCGAAAAATCAACTTGACCAGTATCCTCCTGTACGAACCTCTCGCTCAGTCATTAACATATATATATATCTTTTTAATTTAATTTTGATTTTTGTACTTGAATAGTTTGATTCAGCTGGTATTTTAAACAATACATGAGCTGTTGAAGGGATGTGGCATAAAAGGAGGGCGAGTTATACGAATCAAAAATGCATTGGCAACGATTAACAACTTGGACAAGTTTCTGCCTAATAAGGAAGCTGGTATGTGTATTCAATTAAGTCTGACAATTTACAGAGTTCCAGCGGTGGATTTATGGGAGGGGTGCACAGGGGTGCTCACTTCTCTAAGCTCTCGTCAACAGTGTGGTGAATAGAGGGATAAAAAATGGCATTTTTCATGACTTTTAAGTTTTAATTAACGCTGAACATTTATTATTATTATATATAAAATATTTAGCGAATTTATTTGTTTCTAACATTCAGATTTTAGTTGCTCACAAAACCAAGCCCCCTCTAAAAACTCTATGCTCGATCCACCACTGTAGAGCTTCATCTTAAAGCATGAGCACTTAAATCTACAACGGCAAAATGCGTATATTGTAAATATTAATCAGTTGGTTGTATATTTTGCAGATATAAGGAGTGCAGTTACAGCATTGATATTCAGGTTGTGTTGAATGAAAAATCCACGGCAAATTGCTTAGTTTTCAAGATCTGCTGCGTAAGTAATAGATACCGAAACTATATAGAAACTGCATGGATAAAATTTTATGTATGCTTTAATATAAAATATATTTATACTACTGCCATGACATGACAATATTGTGTCTCACTTTCAATGACCTAATAATTCTAATTGTGTTTATGTTTATGCTGTTGTTTAGGAAGATGACTCTTTTGATGATGAAATAGCAAACACCACCTACCCACGACTAATTGGATCGGGAGAATTAGGGAGTCTGTACCCCCTTGTAATTGCTACCGAAGGGCAAATTTTTTTAAATCTGTCAAAAAAAATATAGAAATTTCATTGTCTATAGTACTACTTCTAGGTACATTTTATGTACTGAATATGGAATATACACCAAAGGCCTGTAACATTTATGCCCTTTTGGAAGCAGTTTTGATGGGCAAGCCCGCAAATGCAAAGAAAGAAAAGGTTTCAGTTCAGAAATTTGTGAAAAGTTTGGGACTTTAGAGATTATAATATAGTAGTATTTCTAAGATGTTTTATATATTTAATTTTATATATACATTTAACTTTACTTGTTTCATATATTGACTTGTTTATAGTATGTTTTATGTTTTGTATATATTTATATGTGTGAATACATGCATATAAATCATTTCATTTCTTTAAATATATTTATTGCTCAGCATTTTTGTGTCGCGTGTTTAACTGGCCTTACATAAAACAATAAGAAAAGGGGTTACAAAATAACACCGAATTTAAGTGTCATTTTGACACCGGACGTTAAGGGCTAAATTAGCACTTTAACAAGTGCTATAATAACACCAAGAATAGGCGCTATTTTAGCACCAAACTCGGTGTTAATTTAACACCAGTAAGAAAATAACACCCGAAATGGTTTTATTCTGTACCTTTTAATTTAACACCACTTTTTAGTGTTAAATTAACACCTTAAAATTTACAGTGCATATGAGACTCTCTACACAATCCGACAGTGCTCAAACTACGCACACGCAGTGAGCGTAATATAGATATATATATACAAAGTGTATTAAAATGTGCCCTCCCGCCTATCTCCATAGTAAAATGGTGACTCCTGCATGTGGGACACAGGATGTACGGTTACACATTATATATATATATATATATATATATATATATATATATATATATATATATATATATATATATATATATGAGGACAAGAAGAAAATAAACAAAAACTACAATTTCATCCCGACAAGCCTGTTTCGTGATTTCTCACTCTTCAGGGGATAATTTTAAATTATTATCAATATTTACGCTCTGCTCTTATGCATCGAGCACTGTAATTACGGAGATTCAAATAAACAAAACTTCCTATGTATATATAGCTTTGTCGATGTTTTAATAGATAATAATATTTTTTATTGTTTATGATAACTGAAGATTTTACCGTGTCAAAATAATTTTGAAATAAATAAATAAATAAATGCTTGAATAATTGAACAGTACACATGCAAATGAACACACGGATGTTTCACTGAGAATAATGCATAAAAAAGACTAATAAGACCATAGTTCAAAAGATTTTTTTAAAAGAGTAGACGGTTTTTTCGAAGAGCAGTCATTTATATCATTTGTTTTCTTTGAAGCAAAGTGATACGATTATCAGTTTGCTATTTTCGAAATATTTATTACTAGCTATATTATGCACTTTTTCAAATTTATACAAAATGACAGTGTTTTAGTAACACTACGTAAAAACTGCATACTCCGATTATATTTTTTTCATAAACTGTGTGATAAGCACAAATCCTCATAAGCAATATTTTGAACAATGAAATGAAACATATTTAAACATTATGTGTAATCACAATTAACATCACACGTTATAAATATAGTGCGATTTATATAAACGGATTTAACACCTCTCGACATAAAAACCCCAGAACTGATAAATTATTGGCATGCAAGTGATTGATCATGAGCTGTTAATAAATGTTATTTATTTCTTTATGTCATTTTTACAAATATGCTTACGAAATACTCTGTTTATTTTATTAGTTGTGGAACTAAAGGAAACATTGGTGAGGTTGTAAACGGTACAAAAGTTGAAGTTGGAAACACACCGTGGCAAGTTGGAATTAAAAGATGTCATAACTGCAACATTAGATGCGGTGGCACGCTGATCAACGACCAGTGGGTGGTTACTGCTGCACATTGTGTCACTGGTTGGTTAGCTGAAGAACTCTATCTTGTAGTTGGAGAAGTAGATCAATCGAAGATCTCTGGTCAAGAACAGCAGTTCAAATGCACTGAAATCATAACTCACGAAGACTATGGTCTTGGTGCTCCATTTGATAAAGATATTGCATTACTAAAACTTGATAAATATGCAGTTCTAAACGACTACGTGCGTCCCCTGTGCTTACCAGAATCTGGTACTGTTCTTGGCAGTCAAGATTTTTGTCAGGTGTCTGGATTCGGTAGAGTAACGCGGTATGGAGAGAAGTCTACCTTCTTACTTCAAGCCAACATAAACATTGTAGATCTTGAAACGTGTAAAAAGGTATTTATGAAAACTTTCACACATTTGAAATTAAAAAAATAAGATCACTTTTAAAAAATGCATTTACAAATAACTAAACGGACCAAACGGCTTTTAAAGCAATTTTTGAAAGTTCAACGCACATTAACTCCATTGCCACCAACAATTTTTTGTGTAGAAAAAGCGGCGCCTAATGAATACCTAGCAAGTAGCAGTAAATAAGTCGACTGGCTTTAAAAAAATATTGCAAAAATATCGACTTGTTTCATAGGTACATGCTAGCACTGTAAGAATACACTTTGGTAACACTAGTGTATTCGAATTCAAGTTTTGCTTTTCACCGATGGCACTCTTTAGTAGTAATTACTAAAAAAAATAAGAAAAAAACTCAAAATTGACGGGTAGAATATCTCTAATATTTAAAATTTGATATTTAATACATAATATTTAATATTTCATATCTAGCTAATATTTAATATTGAGTATTTAATATCTATAATATCTAATTTTTCAGGCGTATGAAAAGTTATCAAGGAAGGTAACCTCAAATATGTTATGTGCTGGTTATAGAAAAGGTGGGACAGATGCATGCCAAGGCGACAGTGGTGGACCTTTGACCTGCTACAATCGCAGCAAGGTTCGTTTTACCTTGGGTGGTATTGTGTCTTGGGGCGTCGGCTGCGCACAGCCTGACAGGTACGGGGTGTACACAAACACAGCAGTTTTTACACCATGGATCGAGAAAAAGTTAAAGGCCTACAGCAAATAAGCACCTTGTAATCAAACGAACAAAAACTTTTTCATTTTTAAAACTTTGGGTAATAGATCGATTTCTATCAAATTTAAACGAGTAAATTTGTATTTTCTATGTATGAAATAAGGTATATGTCATCTTATCTGATTTTCAATATTTTCTTGCACGTGTAATCCGTGAAATATTAAATGAATTGTATCAAATTGCTTAAAACAAATGAAACCTAGGCTAGAATCAAAGTGGGAGGGCTGTGAAATTAGAAAATTAAACGAGACTTACCTGGAAGTTGAAGTTTGATTGAAATTCTATGAGCCATTGGTCTGGAGCGAAGAAGTCACGTTAGACAGCGTGCAGGAAGTTCGAGCTTCAGTTTTTAAAGTATGTGAATGTCCATTGAAATATCTGTGTATGGGTAGGGTAATTTTTAATACGTAGTGTATTTTTGCTCGTAATGTAACTGGGTGGGTACGTGACTTCTTCGCTCCAGACCATTGGCTCGTAGAATTTCAATCAAACTCCCCAACTTCCAGGTATCTCTTGTTTAATTTCCTAATTCTACTTCACCATTGGTCATGTCACTACAAAGTCACGTGAGATTTTAAAGCAATGGCCATGAGCATGAAACTACAAATTCTTTATGATAGCGAAGAAAGTATATAAAAAAAAATCAGGTAAGTCTAATTATCAAAATAATCTTGTCTAATCTATATTAAGTGACTGTAGTATGCTATGGCCAAAATTTTAAGATTTGGTAATTGCCCCTGAAATCATAGGTTTATCATAGAATTTGCTAAATGTTGATGCATTTGTCCAACCAGCTGCATTCATGATAGTATTAATTGATATGTTAACTGCTTTCGCACCTGAGGTTGAAACTGCTCTGGTGCTATGGGCATGGAAAATATTTGTGTCACTTCCTGCTTTATCTAGGACAGATTTCAGCCACCTTGCAATGGTATCTGTTGTCACAGGCATATATGGCTGTTAATAGCTAATTAATAGTCGTGTTTCGCCTGTGTATTTTTTCAAGTACACTTTTATTGTTTTGAAAACGCATAACTGTTCGTCTGCAGGATAGGCTTGTAAAGCCTGGCGACTGAAATGTTTCCCAGTTCTTGAAGTTTTCGATAGTTTCTATATATGGAAAATATACTGCTTGTGTGGTTGACATACTACTTGCATCTCACCAATTTCCAGAGCATTGATTGTTTGACAACGTTGCTCGGAGAGCAATGCTATCAACATAGCCATTCTCATTGTAAGGTCCCGAAGATGCAGGCCGTTAATGGGTGTAGTGATTTCAGATACTTAAGTACAAGTGCTACATCCCAAAGACAGTGGTTACGGGGAATTGATGGTCTTGTTGTGAAGACGCATTGAAGCAAGAGGGGTTTCCAATTGTCCCTCTCTCTGGAGGGAATATAACCAAGGATAAGGCACATCTAGTGAGGGTTCATTGCACTATATGTTAGCTTGTAGTTAAAATATACATCAATAAGGAAATTGATACCTTGTGTTACGGTGACTGAAAAAGGATCAATTTTCCACCGGAAAGAGTACTTTTCCATCGTTTCAGGTAGGTTGTGTACTGCTTTCTAGTGCCATTTGTCTAGGATTGTAGCATGATATTTGTAGCTGAGTCCAAAAGTCCTTGACTCTTTAGTAAGTGCCTGACACTTTGCATAATAGAAGTCTGATTGTCTTGTTGAGTGGATGCATCTTTTGACGCTTTGATGGCAGGTACAAGAGGTCTGGCTTCCTAGGTAAAATAATGGGTTGTTCAATTAGCATGTCCGTCAAGTAAGGCTAACAAGACTGTGTTGGCCAGTGAGACAAAACTTTAAGTCCTGTGGCTTCCTCTTGGTCACCCCAAGAAATTAAGAAAGCATTGACTGCTTTTTTCCCCGGATCAGGGTGATATGAAATGCAATTTTTGCATTCTTTTATTTAAGCGTGAAGCTAACAGGTCAATTCGTCGTGTGAATTAACACTTGAGTACTGCTTTTTTAAAACATGTGAATCTAATGCCCATTCATCTCAGATGTAGTTTTTCTAGATATTTATCAGCAATGACATTCTCAGAACCTGGAATGTGGTAAACAGTGAGCCAAACATTATGGCTTATACACCACTCCCTGAAACTGACAACTAGTGAATTTAACTCTGGTGAGTGGCATGAACCCATTTGGATTATACATGACACTGCAGTAGTGTTATCGACTAAAACTTTGACATGTGTGACCTGTACTAGGTTTTCAAATGATTGCAGAAAGTTAATTTGCTTGGAAGCCTCTTTTGATGACCATTGACCTCCAGTTGGGGTATTATGTATCGTTTATCCCAACCCTAGTTTTGACACATCTGTAGCAAGGGTATGGACAGGTTCCCCTTTAACTCACCTTAATCAAAGGTAATTTTTCTATGGCTGTATTTATTTACTCAATTGCGGATTTTGTCGTTTCTTGTTCTGGTTGAACTGGCGCCTCGGATTGCCGTGGTACTTGGAATTCGTCGTCATTCGACTCTACGGCTGAGGCGCTCGCCCTAAAAAATGGCGCCTTTGAACGTAACGAGAGCTTGATAATTTCAATTTTGCCCTTGTGGGCCTTGAGGGCTCGATACACTGGCCGTGGAGCCAATTTTATTTGTGGCCCGGATATGTGTCAGTTCTGTTAGGAGGTTATCGACAAATAATAAAGCTGTCACAGGTACGTTTAATGAGCACAACATGGCGTAGTCATTGTGTATGATTGGCTTGCTTCCCTCCCGGCGTCATTGTGTTATTTCTGACAAGATCGACTAGGCAAAGTTTGGAGCTATCAGCTTTTGCCTGAAGTAACTGCTCCGTGTTTTTCAGGACAAATTGTCCGACCTTCGTAACTTGCTCTTGAAGGCGGAAAAATTTATGGTCTTTTTTTCTGGCATGGCGGTTGAGTTTCCCCGAGCTTCTGGGTTGACTTGTGTTACAACGAGTTTCTCACAATTTTCAGGTTGGTGATATTTGCCAATTTTCTTCTTAAGTTGATCATCAAAAGCTTTTGCAGCCAGCGTTTGTTGGCAATGATCGCTAGTTTGACGGAGACAGGATAATCAGTTTTCTCATCTTTGTTAAGCGAATGTTCGATCTCGTATAGCAGTGTGTCATTTTCCTCGCTTTGAGCCGTAGCAGATGGTTCCCTGCTCATTGCTATATAATTAAGTAACTCTTCTGAGTCGCAGGTATCATTTGTGTCTGATTCAGCCTGGCGGTTATTAGCCAACTTGGCTTTTTTGGCAGATTCTACCAAGTTGAGCAGATTGTCCTGCTGCTCATGTAGTCGTTTGAGCGATTCACCCATGGTCAACATTGCGTTGTTGATACCACAGTACAGGTATTAGTGACCTTATCTACAACGCAAGCAGAAAAGAATTTTAAACCAATGCGCATGTGCGTGCGTCGTTGAGTTTTGAAGTGGTTCTACAACGTGGCGTCTTTGCTTAAGCCCACGTCGTTCTACATCTAAGGTGGAATTTTTCACAAAAAAGTTTTAAAGTATTTGAGTTTTTAATTCACCATACAATTGTCTGTGGAATCTGGTATGTGGCTGATGTGTTGATATTTATCTGTGAGTAAAATATTTTTACATTCCTGATTTTAGCAAGGCATGATTATGTCAGAACAACAGTTTTCATCAGCATCAAGTGATTGCTCACCAAGTATACCACGAAATTCACCGTGAGTTAAATTAATTTTGTAGCTAAATTAACATCCAGTGGCTTTGAATTTATCTTACTTTGCAATAACGGTTTGTGTCCCCCTTTTTTTGTTTGCATAAAAATACTATGCAACGGGTACTAATATATCAATTTTGGCTACTATATATTTCTAAATTGTTTTAGAATCAGTTTTTTTATGAAGTGGACAACAAATCATGATGTCGAACTGTGCAAACAAGTTGTTGTGTCAAGACTTTTTGACACAAGAAAAAATCCCTTGAAAAAGGAAAGTGTGGGAAGCCGTTGCTAAGAAGTTAGAGCAACATGACCACCTTTCCTTTCATGTTGACAAGCGCGCAGTTAGCGAAAGAATGCGAAAATTTCTACAAACTATCGCAAGAAAGAAAAAGAAGAAATAAATGCAAGGTTTATTTCTCAAGAAGCAACTGAGCAGGATGATTTACTTGAAGAAATTCATGCTAGAGAAGAAGAAATTGATGTTGTTGCTGCTGAGGCTAGAGCTGCAGAAAGAAAAAAAAATGCAGACAAAGAAGCCCTAGTAGCTCTTTTGCCAAAAATTGCAGACAAATAAAATAATTTGTAATTACAATGTATGAGAAACAAGAAGTACAAACATTCAGAATAAAATTATGAGAAATATGTTTGAAGAGAGGGTGGCTCCAACTGAAAAAAATCACTTGTCATATTTGATTGAAGACAAGTTAGAGCATTTCTAAGCAGTGATGCAACTATAAACATTTTGCCCACAGCACTTAAGCTAATTTTTAGATTCTTCTTAAAATCAAGGAATTTAAAGAAGTTTATAATGTCACCAAAAATCAATTCAACTGATATTCTCACAGCACTCATTGACTTATTGAATTCTTCTATTGGCATGGTTAGTGGTACGTTTCGGTATGGTGCTTGCCAGTGAATGCGCAGAGGATATGCGGGATCTCCATATAGGCACATGGGTTTTCCATTCCAATGAGCAGACTCTTCAAGGTCATTCAGAAGTCCTGACACAGCCAGCATGGCAGAATCATGCCTTCTTCCTTCCAAAAGAAAAATGACTCAGTTTGTTTTTCAACAGAATTTACCCTTGACATTGCATTTTCCTATTGGTCCAAACATGTTTGCAATTATTCCATTTGGAAGTGTAACTGATTGGAACTTAAGAGCATGGACCCTATTGTGACCATTGTACACTATTCGCTTCATTTCACCTGGTCTACAAATCTGTCTTACTGTCCCAGCAATGAAACCAAAGCAATTATCAAGAGCTGCTCCTTTTTGATGGATAGTTTCAGCATAAATCTTCAGATTTTCTGGGCTGAGCAATTGGTGATTCCAACTGGTTATTTTGTCCCCATGCCTCACAAAAATGCAGTCAGCAACGGCATTCATGATCATGCTGAGTTCTGGAACAGACCTTCCAAACTGAGATACTAGATTACTGTATCTACATGGATAAGAAAACCAACGAAGGACAATGCAGAGAGCTTCC